AAATGAAAAAATTTAAGTAAAGTGATTTGCATTTTAAAGGCTTATATAAATGGAAGTAATTATTACCAATTCTATTGTCTTATCCTATTGTTGGAAAACTGTTTTTCTGAAAAACCTTTTTGCTGCACACTTCCTCTCATTTTGTTTCTTGTGCTGATGGAGAAAAGATAGTCATTACTCTCCCTCATAAATCTGTGAGTTGTTCAATCAGCCCTTAGCCTTCTCCTCTCCAGGATAAACAGTATCCAGCCAGTTAAATCTTTCCTCACAGTTGTTGTTTCCCAAACCTCAAGTCTCTTTTCAATCATTCCTAAATTCACCACATCACCATCTTACCCTTTATAAGTCAAGCTGTAGTCACTGTGTTCTTTTCTTTACTCCAAAGTCAGTACTGTTCTCACAATCATCCTCTGTCCATTTGGAGTATCTAGTGGGTTCTGATACTGTAGTAACTCTATTAAGAAGACTTCAACCCTAAGACCTGATTCCACTGGACCATCCCTTTCCCTTTGTATTCTAAAATGAGAAACCTCTGGGTTTGCCTTTTTAACTGATTCTATTGTCAAGTCTCCTGACTAGCTTGTTTGCTGGTTTGCTGGCCTCTGTTAGAGAGACAAAATCCTACTTCCTCTGTGACACCCCCAACACACTCACACACCCCCACACACACACACACACACACACCACACACACACACACACACACACACACACACACACACACACACACACACACACACACACACACGTGCGCGAGCATGCGCGCTCTCACTCTTACCATTTTTACCCTTCATTTGCTCCTCAGATGTCTCAAGTAGCAGTGATTTGGGTGGATTTTTTCCTCCAGTTTTTTTTCCTCCAATTTATCCTGCCTATATCTTGTTCATACATATTTATTTACATATTGTCTCCTCCATTAGGCTGTGAGGTCTTTGAGGGCAGGGACTGGTTTTTTTGTTTTGTTTTGTTTTTGTCTTTTTTGTATCCCCAATGCTTAGAACAGTGCTTAGCACGTAGGAGGTAATGGGAAAATGCTTGTTGCTTTGACTTTTCCCCCCAGGTGAATCTCATTTACTTTCTCCTTTTTCTAGGAAGAGTGCTTGTGGGACCCAGGAGGTTCAGGTTCTCTTCCTAACTCTGTCACTAACTTGCTGGGTGACTGTGGGCAAGTCACTCTGGATCCCAGTTTCCTCCTCAGCATAATGATCAGGCTAAACTAAATGTTCTCTAAAGTTCTCTCCTAAAGCAGGTTCAAATATTTTGTGAATCCTCTTGGTCACTGTCTTTGCTGGCATCCTCACTTTCTTGGCGATTTTTCTGACCTTTTCTCTTTCACACAGACAGAATTCTTTAATGCGTGGTTTGGAGGGCCCAATTCAGCTCTATATGTAGAGACATGACAATGGAAGCTGGTTCATCTTTACTTCACCAATCCTCCAGCCTTCTCATTCTCCCAAGGATCTCACAGACCCAAAATAACATCTCAGCATAGACTCCAGAAGAAAGCCCTCTCATTTAGCAGCTTTCCACAGCCTGGTAATGTAGCTGCCTAAATAATTAAGACTAACTCACACATGTCAAATTCAATGAGCCACATAGATTGAGAAATTGCCGCATTCCCAATTTCTTTTATTAATCAGGTTTTTTAAATTCCTTTTCTTGCTAATTTGCAAAAATCAGATGTCGTCAGTGAGTCTCCTGGTTACAATTTGGTAACATCTTTCGTAGTGTGTTCAGCCCTTGACATGCAAACCAAAGAAAATTGGATACCAGAACCCAAGTCAAACCACTACATAACCAGCTCTATTAGGGCAGGGACCAGGTCTTTGGTCATCTTTGCCACACCTCCAATAGATACCCAGCACTATACTCCCCACCCAATGGTTGGAAAATTTAATTAACCTGACCCAGTAAATTGGCATGTTTATAAGCAACAAGTGTAATAGAGTGGACATGGCCCTGGATTTCAAACCCAAGGACCTGGGTTTGAATCCCAACTCAGATGCTTATTACCTGTGTAACCATGGGTAAATCACTTCTCTCTGAACCTCAGGTTTCTCATTCATACAAAGAAAGTAAGCCTTGTCAACTATAAAACACTATGTCAGCCAGCCAATCAACAAGAAGTAACTTTGTGTTGGACACAAGGGGGGGGACAGGTGGGGGAATACAAAGACAAAATTATGAGTCATTAGAATCTCATGATAGGATTTCAGCATAGAGTCAGTTAGACCTGTTGCACATTTCCATAGCTATTAGGAATGAGCCCTTAGATCACCCAAAGCTCTAACTCCACTTATGCCCCCTCAAAATTCCCTGGGGAATTGGTGTCTCCCTCCTTTTCCTCAAAGCTGTTTGCTACAACTCCAGAGGATAAACTGAGATTGAGTCTCAAAAGCATTGCAGGGTCTCGTGCCCTTCTTTCATTTACTTTCTTCCTCCCTTGCTCCACTCTGGTGAGCTCTTTCTCTCTCTCTTTAATTAGAAGACGTTAGGATGTGCTTTAAGATGATCATAAAAAGCCAATGAAAAATATAATAGACATTGTCAGCAATTGTATCATTCTAATGACAAACAATACATATGCGATCATAATGGGATAGTTAACTAGGCTCATTGTCAGTGTGTTCAGGCTTTCATTGCAGTCTCTGTTGAGAGGCTATTGTTCCACTAAAACTCTGTGTGTTGCTTATACTTCCGCTTGCCCCTTCTAGGCAGTCTGGATTCTTGCCTCTTGAAGATGATGTTAGAAAGAATCCACAAATATAGTAAGTAAACATCAAAGGGGCTTTGATCCAGGCAGCCCTATACAGTACAGGATCCCCTAAAGAAAGGGCCAAGGCCTTGGATGAGAGAACTTAACATCGTCAATTTGGGTGCCTGAGATGGAGGTTTGTTTGAAGTGAGAGCGTGTTGGCTGTGCCTTCAGATGCGTCAACGTGCTGGGAAAAAAAAAAAAAAAGAAAGAAAGAAAGACGTGAGTGCCTTTAGAAAAGCCACACTTAGATCTGCTTCTCTGCTCTTTACTGATAGTCAATAAGCCCCTTTAAAGAATCAAGAGATCAAAGCTAGTGACCTCCCCGGGCCATGGTATCCTGCCACTGCAAGCCCTGAATTTCCTTTCTCTGGGGCAAGAGCCCCCAAGTTTGATTTAGCTGTCTGTCACGGGCCCTGCTCTCCCTTTCATCCTGCTACCGGTGCAGTGAGGGCCCGGTGGGGAGGAGGTCCCAGCAGGTGCCCGCCCTGACCATGGTTTAAGAGCTGAAACACAGCCCAAATCAAGATCCGGTCTGGAGGGGGAAGCAACCATGGCTCAGCACTCAGTGCACTTTTTTTCTTCTTCTCAAAGAGTCCTGTCTAGAGAGCAGCTTGATCCCCAGAGAGGTTTAGGAGAGAAGCCTGGGAGAAAGCTGGAAAAAGGTGATGAGGTGAGGCCATTAGAAGGCTTCTGATTGGAAAAAGCACTGGACTTGGGAATCAGGAGACCTAGGTTCAAGTCTCAGGGAAATAATACCACTTGAACTGTGGACCTCACAGAGTTATTGTTATTATCCTCTAAAGTATGCTGTGACATGCCATAGAAGTATGAGAAGGTGCAATCCTCTTGTTGTTCTATGACCTGATTATTTGGGCCAGTCACCTAGCTTCTGTCATCTATGACTTTTTGACCTAAGGACAGGAGGTGATTTCTAGTGGTTAAAGCAGTGTCACCTCTTATCCTTGGCTCCAGGCCAAGGTTGGTGGTGCCACCATAAAAAGGTTTTTTTCAAGAGGCAGCCATGTGGCATAGTGGATTAAAAAATAGACTCAGAGTCAAGAAGACCTGAGTTCAAATTCTGCCTCAGGCATAGCTGTGTACCCTAAATACAACTCTCTCAGCTTCATCTGTAAAATAGAGATAATAATAGCACCTAAAGTACTTCACAAGGTTGTTGTAGGAACCAAATAATCTTTGTAAAATGCTTTGCAAACCTGAAAGGATTACATAAATATTGTTGTTCAGTTGTTTCAGTCATGTTTCATGACCCCATTTGGAGTTTTCTTGGCAAAAATACTGGGGCAGTTTGCCATTTCCTTCTCCAGCTCATTTTATAGATGAGGAAACTGAGGCAGAGTTAAATGACTTGCCCAGGGTCACACAAGTAGTAAATGTCTGAAGCCAGATTTGACCTTGGGAAGATGAGTCTTCCTGACTCTGGCACTCTATCCACTGAGCCACCTACCTGACAACGTAAACATTTGTTATTATTATTTACTTTAAAAATATGTGCTAGTTTACATAACAGCGTACATCAAATTGACACAACACTAGCCACTTTGTGCTGTTCGACTTTTTAAAATCTCTGTCCAATCTCCCTAACTAGATTGTGAGCCACTCAAGGGCAGGAAATCTGTCTTAATACAATTTTGTATCCTCAGTACTTTGACACATGTTGGTGACAATGACTGATTATGTGTGCTGTGAACAATGTGAAGATGTCTAGAATTTTCCCCAGATCTTAAAGCTTTCCCCACACACACCAAGTGTTAAGTCCTTTGGCCTTCATGCCTTTGTGTCTCTAATCCGTGTCCTTTTCTGCATGATGGTATCAAACTTCTGCTCATCCTCCTGTTTCTCTCTGCACCCTAAAAAAATCTGCTAACCTCTGATTTGACACTACTGAGTTCCCCTTCTGAATCTGGTAGAGATAACCCACTATGTGAACAGCTGTTGATTGGAATCTGGACTCTGCTTTGTTAATACTCGGCTGCATTCTGGGCCATAACTTTAAAGGAAAGGTGATAAAGGACTCAGAGAATATAGGAGTAGGTATGTGCTACAAAAAAAAAAAAAAGGACATATTTCCCCTGAAGACTTCTCCCTGGAGTATCCAGGAAAAGGAGTCCTACCCCAACTGCCTTGAGATGGCCCTCTGCCCCTCACATATATAGCTCAGTGCCCAAAGATATGGTTTTTTCATTACTCATTCTTGACTCATCCAACCATGTGCTTCCTTCCAGAACTTGGGCTCCAGAAGAGAGGATGCTGTCTGGTGCTGGGGTACATGTCCAAGGAAAAGTTCCGGAGGATGAATGAAGGTCAGTGAAGGCCTAACTGTCCCCCTGAGGGAGTCATTGGGAGGGAAAGGATTATGTTCCAGAAATAACAGATGACTGACCATGGGCAAATTATGTAACCTTTCTGAGCCTTCATTTCATCTGAAAAATACTTAGTCTGTCTCAGGGTTGTCATAAGGAAATTGCTTTGAAACCTTAAAGCACTATATGAGTATGAATGATTATTATTATTACTCTTAATAATAATGCTTATAAAAGAAACAGAGGGAACCTAGGGACTCCTAGAGAGAAAATAATGGACTGTTTGTTCACCATGATGGTTTGAGAAGAACACTGTATTTGGAATAAGAGGACCAGGTTCAAATCCTAACTCTATTATTTATCACATATGACCCAGGCAAGCTACTTTCCCCTCTGAACCTCAGTTTCCTCATCTGTAAAAATGAAGATGTAATACTACCTACCTCAATAGCCTTGTTATAAGGAAAATTTTTCATAAACCTTAAAGCCTTATGGAAATGTGAGCTATTGTTTTGTGTTTTTTTTTTCAGTCATACTTCCTAATATTTCTGAAGTTAGTCTTTTCTTGTACTCATTTTCTTTACCATTATTTCTCTGTCCTTCCTCCTTTAGTTCCATTCAGTATCTGCTTTGAACTCAGGCCATTTTCAGTTCACTATCTTTTTTTCCACTGCCTATTCCTATCCAATTCTATATCCATCCTGCCTTTCTTCTTCATTCATTCACATTTGATGAGTAACTGTGGAGTGAACAGCACAGTGTGGGGCACTTTAGAAGGAAAAAAAGAGGAAGAAGGCACATTGTCCTTGCCCTTGAGAACTTTACAACTAAACTTCATGCCATTTTCTCAGTTCTCCAATAACCCCAAATGTTTAAACCATAAAAGGTTTTTTAGAGCTGGGGGATGACCTTGGACATCACCTAGTATCACCCTCACACTGCTTCTAATTTAAGCCCACCAGCCATTTCACCTTTGCCTTGTTCTGGGCTCTCTCCACAGATGGTCTGAATCACAGGAGAGCTGGGAAAGTGATTTCTGGGAGGCCTGTGAGATGAGGTGTGGGTGGCTTGGAGAGACAGAAGGAGTGCTCTTACTTATGGCCACACTGCAATAAAGAAGCATTCACTTTAGTCTTCTGCCATCTGTCTCCACACTGCTAATAACCTACTCTATCAGATGTCACAGACTGTTTGTTAGGATTCAAAAAAGGATAAACAATAACTGGGGATGTCATTTATTCATTAAAATCAGACAAATGAAGTCTTCTCTTACCACTAGCTTTGTTTTTTCTGAGCAAGCCCTCCCCCCACTAACCAAGAATCCCTTGTGAGGAAGGAATGGGGGGACTCCAAAGGCTCCTTCTGACCCAGTTACAGGAAAAGGAAAAAGGAAGGAGAGGATAGCACAACCATACTATCTCTGTGGCCCCAGACTTTGAGTAGTTCCATCTCCATAATTCCTTAAAGGGTCTCCTCTGGTCTATGAACTGGTGGTGCTGTCCATGGTGTTGAAAGTGCCTATCATACTTTTCACACACTGTGGAACAGGTGCAGCTAAACGCAGACAAGTGAAGAGACCTAGATGTCATGAGCAGCACTGGGATTTGAACTCTCTGCCACTGAGCTCTAATCTCATACTAGATGGGCACTAATCCATGCATCCAGGCCCCAGAGAAATCAGACTATAAACCTGATGAGAAAGTGAATCATCTCCCACTTTTTTTCTGCTCCCTCTGTGTGTGCTATATAGGACATTGGGATTTAGAGCTATAAGGGGCCAAAAGATAGTCTAATACAATCCTACAATTTTAAAGACAAGGAAAATGAGACCACAGAAGTCGATTAGAAATATAGGCAGGATTGGGACACAGGTCTTTCAATGTCAAATCAGTGCTCTTTCCACAGTTACTTCATCCCATTGCTACATCCTCTAGGAACAATACTGGAGGACTCCTGACTACCTCATGTCTAGGGTCTCACCCTAGTCAAGTAGGTCAGAATAGCACACTTCTAACATATATAGAAAGTAGATGGTTTTATTTATGTGTAACCCTTTGTGTATAACCACCCTTTATGTATAACCAACTCTACATTAGCATAGAGTAAGTTAAGATGAGGGAGTAAGACATTTGGGATATCCATAATAGCAAAAGTTCACAGATCTCTTTGCATGCATATGTCATACAGAATCATAAATATCAAAGTTTCAAGGGATCTCACAGCTACCACACATACACACACACAGAGGAAAACTGCGCAGAACACAGAGGACCCTTGTAGAATGATGTTGAGGTTTCAGTTAACAACTAAAGGACTGGATGAGAACAGATTTTAAGCAGGAGATAGGCATCCTGAGAGACTCAGGAGACATGGCTCCCAGATAGGGAGAAAGTCAGTGATGAGATAGAATCCTCAGTACCTCCCTACCCTATTCCATCTTTAAATAGCCCTGTCACCCTATCATTTTCTCAAGTCCAATTTTCAAACATTTTCCCCTTTTTTCTGAAACTCCTAATTCCAGACTTTTCTATGTCTTCTGGTTGTTCAGTTGTTTTCAGTTGTGTCCAACTCTTTGGGACCCTATTTGGGGTTTTCTTGGCAAAGATACTGGAGTAGTTTGCCATTTCCTTCTCTAGCTCATTTTACAGATAAGGTACTAAGGCAAATAGGGTTAAGTGACTTGCCTGGAGTCATACAGCTAATAAGTATCTGAGGCTGGATTTGAAATCATGAAGATGAGTCTTCCTGATTCTAAGCTCTATCTACTGTGCCACCTAGATACCCTACTATGTCTACAGATAAGAAAAGGCGTCTGCAGGCAAAGGGAAGTTGTTTTTATAGTTTGTAATTATCTTGTACTAGTACCTAGAATAATTATGACTCCTGCATATTAATAATTGAGTGGCATCATAGCCATGACATATATCAAAAAGGAACAAAAAGCATTTGCTCCATTTATATGATACAATACAATACCTTGGTATAACTGAACAATTAGAAAATAATAAAAATAATTATTTTTCTCCCAACACTGAAATTAGTGAGATATAAGAACAATTAGCTGCTTCTTCCATTGAAGATAAGGTGGTGATAATTTTGTTTGCAATTTAGAATAAATATAAAAGACCCACTTGAGCTACACTAAAGCTTGTTTGTTTGGCTTAACGGTATCTAATGGGGGCTCTGTCACAGGGGAAAACCTGTCTTTGGTTTCATTTGTTTCCCTGTTAATTTGATATCTTTTTATCTCCTCTCCCCTCCCCCTTCCACACCAAAAAATAACAATAATAATTTAAGAAGGAGCAAGAGGGAAATAATGAATGAATGGGAGCTTTATAGATCCAGGGTTTATCATAAGCTACAGTAATCGCAATTGGAGCTGTTAAACTACACAAAACAATAAAAAGAAAATGCTATCCAAAGATCGTTTAAAGAGGCATGTGATAGTCAATGCAAGGTTTACTCTACTGGGGAGTATTTAATAGCTTCTTCATTGAATCTGCAGCCTTTATAAGAATAGAGGTTGAAGGTGGGTTGACACTCAGTGTGTCTCTCTATGTATGTATATATGTGTTTTCATTTCTTGGTTTTTAACTCCAATTTATCCAAAGTAAACCAGGCTTAGAACAGAAATATGAGCAGAGAAGAATTGGAGAAGTGAAGACAGGAAAGACTGAGCAGGAGACAAAGTAAAAGTAAGAGAGGAGGAAGCTAAGGCTAAATAGGAATATAGAAGAAAGTAATGCGGTTAGGTTTGTCCAAGGTACCTTCAGGGCCTTTAAATCATACTACCTTAAATAGGACCTATTAGAAGGGGATTCCTTGTGTGTTAACTAATTCCACAGACCTTACCCCACTTCCAGTTTCCAGGCTTCCTCCCATACCAATGTTAATATTGCAAACCAGAGTGCCAAATCCATACCTGAGGAGATACGACACAGATGGTTCAGTAAATGGAAAGAGCTAGTAGTAAAGGCAGTGATCCATGGTGAGGGTCGAAGAGGGAGGTTTTCCTTATGCCCAAAGATTCTCCCTTCCTGGCCCAGACAGCAGGTGAACCCTGCTTCTCTGCCCACTCCTCTTCAAAACTTCACTGTTTCTGTTGAAGGCACCACCATCATCCTTCCAATATCCCAGGCCCCTGAGAGGGGAGAAAAGAGGCCAGATATGAAAGGTATTGTGGAAACAGAAATAACAAGATTTGGTAACTAATTGTACATGGCGGGTCAGGGACACTTGGTTGGTCGGTTGGTTGTTGGCCTTCGTTCTTGAAGAGGACAGAAATGACATTACTATATTGGAATCAAGGTACAATGTGTCTGACTGTGGCTGTTCAGACCAATATTAGCTCAGAAGGCTCCACCACAAATCAGGCACAAACAGTCCATATGAACATTTGGAGTGGAGGTATCTCTAAATTTGGGAAACTCATGTTTCTTTTGAGCTACTGAAATTCAGCTTCACTCATAGAGCATAGGACCTTCTTTAATCTGGGCACGCCATGCTGGGAGTCAGGGATGATAAAAATTTACTTGTATTTTCTGGAATATTGGAAGGATGACAGTATCTTCAATAGAAGAGTCAGAAGTTTAGACGATAAGAGGAATTAGGTGCAAAGATAATGAGTTCAGTTTTAGATATGTTGAATTGGAGATGTCTCCAGGAAATCCAGTTTGGAATGTTTAATAGGCAATTGTTGCTAATGGAGCTGAAGCTCAGGGAGGAGACTGAATCTTGACAGACTTAATATGGATAAAATATGGATACTTGTTTTTCATCTGCATAGAAGTGCTTAGATGCATGAGATAAGATAAGAACCAAGAGTAGTCATAACACAGAGAGAGAGAGAGAGAGACTGAGAGAGAGAGAGAGAGAGAGAGGAAAGTAGAGAACATACAAGAAGAGAAGGTGGTAAATAGCATCAAATGAAGCCAATAGGTTGTGAAGGATGATAACTGAGAAAAGATACTTAGTAATTAAAGTTGTGTCCAACTCTTCAT